CTCCCAGCGCTCCCCATCTCACTGCAGAAGTGCAATGTAACCAACAACAGAGGAGCCCACCTGTAAAAAATGGTAGCCAGGGCTTTAGCCACGGATAAGGGATCTTTCTTCTGCAGAGGAGCAGCCTCCACCCACTTGGTGAAGTAGTCAGTCACAAGGAGGACGTGTGTGTTGCTCTGACTTGTCTCGGGAAAAGGACCTGCGCAAACAACCATCCAAAAAATCAATGTGATGCCGTAATATCACCCAAACGGGCACAGTCAAAAACCCAGCCCAGCAAAACCGCTGCTGCAAAACCCACCACAACTCCCTTCTGCAATGTCATCTGGCCAGAACATTTGGGTGACCTTTGTCAGCAAAAATACACCCATCAGAGCTTCAGTTCTGGGAAGTAACACACGCCCACAGCTCCCATTGTGTGTGGGGAGGGAGCCGAGCCAAGCACAGGGATCAGGTTGCACCCTGGCCTCCTTGGCACTTCCCCACCGGCAGCTCTCACTCCCGGCGTGTGGCAGCAGGTCTGCCACGCTCCTGGAGCCCTGGAGAGCCCGCCAGCCACACACACTCACCATGAATGTCTAATCCCAGCACTTCCCAGGGAGATTCCACCCTGACGGGCCGCGCTTTCCGCGACACGTTCTTGTTGTGCTCGGCGTTCTGGCAGGTCTCACACATTTTGATCTGGAAAGGGAAAAGGCAGATCAAAAGGCTTGGGAATATGCTGATGGATTCTGTCAGACTCAGACTGCACGGATTATGAAGGGGTGAGACAGACAGCAGGGCTGAGCAGCTTCCCTCTACCCAATGAAAACAGCGAGGCACAGGAGAAAGAGGACGAAACACAACAGGCTGACACATCTCACCTCTCCCAAAACTCACCTGACAGCTTCCTCTGACACAATAACCAATTTTCTCAACGTGGCCTACAGCTAAGCTATTTCTCATCCTGTTTCCAGGTAGATATTTATTGCATTTTAACCTCCTACTGCTGGTTAGAAAAATCATCAGCCCAAGGATGCCGGAGGAGCTCAGACCATGTAATGCAACCACACTACTCCAAACCACACCGCTGCAGAGCCCTGCTGCAGGAGACTGTCAGCAACAGAACAGGTGAGGCAAAGCAGCTGAGCAGAGCCAGCGGAAACACTGAGATCCTCCCCTTACCATAGTTTAGAGAACTGGGCAGCTCTGGGAGCAATCCAAAGCTGGGCTCAGCAACTTGTCTGAAACAATCCCAATTTCCCATGCTGGCCAAAACTGCCCTGCACCAGGAGGCTTCCTGACGCTCAAGGAAAGACATCTAAACTATCCAGCTGCCTCGGGGCATTCCAAGATTTACCTGCAGAGTTACTCAGTTTGTGGTTTCAAAGCAGCAGGCACTAGAGATGACATCACCCCTGCACTCCTGGAGCTGCTTACTTAGGACTGCTGCCAGCACCGGTGTCACCGACACGGTCAGTGCTCTCAACTCACCCAGTCCACGACATCCTTTACAATCCCCAGCCAGTAGTACCGGCTCTGGATCCGGTGCACGGTCTTTTTCTGGCCCAGGTGGTTCCCGATTTCGGTGAAGTGGCTTTCCAGGAAGACTTGCCGCCTCCGCTCGGGATCCACGATCACCTCCCGCTTCTCCTCCTTCTTGGGCCCCACGTAGTAGAGACACCCACCTGTGGGCACCAGAGGTTTGTGTCCAACACCCCCCTCTCACGCCACTAGAGATGCTCAGCCCCAGAAAAAGGCTCATTTTCCACAGTGGGAAACACGGGAAGAGAGACACAACCTCGGGGTTTTTTGCCTTGGGAGCTCCTGCAGCGCCCCTGGAGAAGCTGCTGACCTGGAAACACCCCTAAACAAGCCCAGGGAGAGCTTTTCTGCAGGCAGGGCTGCGCGAAATCCTCTGCTACAATAAAACCACTGCGGTCCCCACGGGGAACCGGTGCCACCCGCGGGGACACAACCCCACTCTGCGCCCCAAAAATGACGCTAAGGCACAGCAGGGGGG